TGGCGACTTTCCAGCTTAACTGGTGGAGGAAGACATCAGTTGCCCTTCCGTGCATTATTTCAGGCACAAAAGGCACCTGAGTGGAGGAAGACATCAGTTGCCCTTCCGTGCATTATTTCAGGCACAAAAGGCACCTGAGTAAAACCACTGACGTTCCGTAAATAAGCTGGATAGCTTCCTCACATGAAAGAATCTATAGTCCCTCCCACCCACAGCGGTGAGGGGCAAGTGGTTTGAAGTCAACGGTCACGGACGCCCAAAACAAAATATTATTTCGCGGAATATACCAGTGACAATTAAGTGCCAGTTTAATAGCCTTTATTACACTCTCATATCATGAATGATAGGAACAAAACTATGAATCGAATTCTAGTAGTAGGTAAGACATATTTCCAAAATTCAACAGATAGAAATTTCTCTGTCAAGATACCCGGCATTTAAAAATTTGCTAATATAAAAAATTGAATAGGTTTTTGTTGTAAACAACATATCAATAAGACTTCCTGACAGTAAGTATGACTATCATTAAATAATGAAGTCGAAAGAAAATAATACAAATTGTCAGCCATATACATGTGTATAATATTACCTGATTACTTTTTACTGTAAATTTTTAGCGTCATATATTTTTATGTGTATTCAAAAACAAACTGTATCTAAATCATTTCAAACGATATGTTTGTAAATAAAATTATTACAATTTGATATTCCTAAGTTAAATAGGATAAAATTTATATATAATTTAAGTTTTAAAATCACGTTGAAGAAATAAAAAGAAACAGGAACTCTGATTAACTGTAGAACGCTTGAAATAAATGTCCTTGGCTCTAAGGTTAAACATTTTAAGACCCCTGCATGTTATAAAGCCGGTGATTTCTTTAATTTTGACTTAGAATGCATTAATCATCAGATTACAACGGTGACTCCTCTAATGCTGACACAAACCATTTGTTTCATGCTACTTTTCAAAGCCTGCTTTACTGGTCTTTTTTTCATTCTTTTCTTCTATCTCCCGCAGACGACAAAATCCTTTATCAAAGTCACATGAGGCTTACGGCAAGAGCGCTTTAGTTTAACAAAGATTACAATTAATCTGCTTACAGTTAAATACAAAACTTCTGATGCTAGTTCATTTACCATATCACTCGTTCTGTAAAGAAAACACCGCTTATTCTTACAAAAAGCTAATGTTGTATTTTTTATATACATGTATATTTGGTGGGGATATACATGAATATCATAACTGAATACATTGAAATAAAAGTAATAAATCTTTATTTCAAGAAGTTTCATATAAGTGAAGAAAATGAAGGAATGGTTATTTTGTCACAAATACACACAATCATGATAAAAGAGACATAAACAATGATAAAATCCAACAACAACACTACTAGTCACAGGCAAGTAAATACTAAACATCTAATTCTATTGATCAATTAATTTATAATATAAAATTGAAATTGGTTAAAGGGAGCTCAATCTTCTTGTCCTGTAATAAAATGGACATACGAGTTTTAACAGTATCTAATGTATCACGTGTCCCTGTTAACATTCTAGTACCAAACCATTTCTAAACCAATTGTCAGATGTCGTGGCAATATATCTGTGAAACTGTCCCATGAATAAAAATTGCGGCACACAGAAAAGGGGTAAAAACAAAACAGAAGAGGAGAGGACACAAAGGTGACACAAGTCATTTTTGACTACTTTCCTGTCCAGGTCGCTCATTTTTTAATGAGTAATTTTTTCATATTATAGTATATGGGAGATAAATTAATTGTCTCACACGAGTGTTCACATTCTCTATGTATGAACTAACATTTTAGTACGAATCATTGAAATGTCATCTGTACTTAACATCGATGTAATGTGACATTTTAATGGTTATTTAATGTTGATCATTAAATAGGTTAATGTTTAATAATATGCATAAACAAAAAATAATTGGTCGCCTGCCTGCGGCAGGCTTGACCAATTATTTCTGTTAATACATATTATTAAACACTAACCTATACTTAATTGATGCTTTAATTAGTGCCGATGATCGAATTTTGCTATAGCCGGTGCTAGCCTGTGTGAATTATGTTTTAGTTTTCCTAATTCACAAATGTAAGGCTTGATCATGTATTTATACCCATACTAAACGGTGTCTCTTTCACATTTTGGTGATCTGTATAAATGTGAGTCCTCGACATTTCCACTGTAGAGCCCTCGACCAGAACAAAGCCGAAAAAGATAAACACAGTTTCTAATCCGTTTTCATTTTCTTCAAAAATCGAAGAAAGCTATGCCACGAAGAATATTTTTCTCATCATTTTTACAATATTGACATGCCTTACAGGTTCATAATCTAATTGTTGCTGTTGTGATGATATGGCATCACATGTTGATATACAAGTATACCACTTCTGAGGAAATGTGTGAATTAAGTGTGTGACAAATACGATGAATTTCCTAAGTCGCCAACTAACTGATCACTTTTACTACTAAACTTATAAGAGACTTAACCTCTCCTCCTACCCTATTTAAATGGTCTAGGATATTTGAACCTGGAACGTCCGGGTGATAAACAGAGTCGGATTACATTCGCCATTTTTTTGTTCAAAAAAGTGAGCCCAGTTTGTGATATTACACTATCACAATGTTTTACATGATGGATATTGTATTTATTTTAAGTTTGTTCTTGCATCTTGACCATAAATTTATTGTGAATAGAATGACAAGAGGCCACAAGCGGGTAAAAACAAATCTGTTAAGTGATAACCAAGTATGGTCAATTTATTTTTTATTCTGTTTTTTTTTTTCATCTTACATTCTAAACTTTAGGCGAAAACATACAGTCAGTAAACTGATACTTGTGCTGAAGTTATAAACTTGCTTTAAAGGGCTACTGTAATATGGTGATTCAAATAAAGCACTATATTGTTCCCTTGATATATTAATAATTTCCTCTGGTCATGAAAGTTGTGATTATTTATTGTTTTGGCGGGATTTTTTGTTACTGTTGTTGCTGTTGATGATGTTGTTCTTTAAGCGAAACATATTGTTTACGATTTCTAAATCTTTAATCTTTCAGTATATGTTTAATGATGGAATATACCTTTATACGTCTGGTTCAATGCGAAGCGATAATGGGACGAATCAGTAAGCTTGAGCAGAATAGGGAAATGTGGTGCTTCGGCGACATTGAGAGACCTTGCAAGTTTCCATTTTTCACTGTCTCTATTTTTACATATTTTATTTATTTATTTATTTATTCATTTATTAAATTCTATATATTAATTGATTTTTTTATTTATTATTTTTTATTTCTTATTTATTTATTTATGTTTTATGGTGTTTCAGGATCATTGATTTCAAAACACTAGTATGAAAAATTGGGTATTGCAAAGGTTGGTTTTAGGTCAATAAATTAGTTTGCGGTGCTGTGTTACCGCTGTGTTACATTCATGTATGTATTGAGAAAAAAAATAATCCAGGTTGATTGTCCAAGTCGTGCATCTTAATGCAGGAATTTCAAAAATGAAACAAGTATCAATTATTTTATAACATGGTATCAAAGTAACATTAATTATATAACTTTATAATGTGAGTCTAAACTGATATTCTATATAAAAAAAATGACATCGGTCATTCAAATAATCGCACCTTCTGTGCATACTGTATTAACTGTTTCTTATCATCAGATTGATAGTATTGTTTTTTTGTTTGTTTTTTTTTGTTTTGTTTTTTTAAGGCATGCTTACGTGACGTAATGAGTTGAGTGAAGCACAAAGTTATAATAACAGCTAGCTAGCTCATCTGTACTTCTGTACTTTGATTTGCTTCCGGCTTCGTTTAATCCTTAAGACTGCCATTGGTAGTTGCTATAAAACTAAGTTTACTTATCAAATGTTTTTATACATTCTAATATGCAGATTTATGTCATACAAACGTCTTTATTACGGATGAAAAGTGGTTTCAATTACTCAAAAAAAAACGAATCGTTAGTTTCGATAGTAAAGTGGTAGTTGTTATTCATGTTTTTAAGTTATATACGCATTTGCTTCTAAAGTAAAAATAACGTGCCTGCTATTGTTACGGAATATAACTCTTTATACTGAAAATAATTTCAGATTAAACCGACACCATTAAATGTGCCTTAAAATTCAAAATTAATTGATGCAAATATAAAACTGTTTTTTTTTACTGCAAAGAGATGATAGTTCTGATGCAGAACATCAAAACATAAACGGAACTGAAACTTGGTTGATTTAATTAGCTATATTCATGTTCGGTAGTCCATTGGGTGACTTTCCGGTGATAGCTTCATAATGTCGGAATGGCTGCGTTCCGTACAGACGATCATTGCTTCATATTTGTTTTTACAATAAAGTTCATGGTGTTCTCTACTTGAGCATTATTCATTCTTCAGCTTTAAGAGAATTGAAGAAACTAAAGCAGTAATATTGAAGAGAAGGGTCAGAAAATTGAAGTTCTGTAACAATCATTTTGTGAAGAAATTTAGATTCACAACCTAATTTAGATTCACAACCTTTAATAGTTTCACATAAAAACGCGGTATCTAATTTTGGAAACAACTAATCTGGTAACAAACGGGGATTTATTTTATGAAACTTTTTGAAATATGAAGAGTATGGTGGCCGGTTGCGACCATTTTAAACCCGCGACAAATTTTATTGATCTTTGGGAAAAATTAAGGCCGCGTCTTTGTTCATCAACAACAGTCTCATAAAATATCACGGCGAGATATAGCAATTTTAAGGAGCGACTTTTGCGCAGAGACATTTCCCGCCTTAAAAAGTCGAGGCTTAATGCTTAAACTCGTCTTTTTACAAGGTATGCATCAAAACAAATTATCGCGGATTATAATGGCCGAAATCGGCTACCTTACGAAGGCATATGTTTGCGTATCATTTTATATAATTTCGTCATACAATATCGTGGGTTTAAAAGTTTCTCGCGACATTTTATAAACTAATTGTAAAATTTCTCGCGGCTTTAAAAAGGACTCTATCGGCCACCATAGTAAAGGGTAAAAAAAACAACAACAAAAACAGACAAAAAAAAAACATAAGTGTATAAGCATATGTGAATAAGCCTCGTCATACTTCATAACACTGGTGGATTATTTATGACAAGAACAATGATATGCGTGTAAAAGTATGAACGATTTAATATTCAACATCGCCCAGGAAATGTGTTTCATTTATTTCTGTATGATATGTGATTGAATTATCAGGAATGCATTGGAACAATAAAAGTAATTGCTCGGTAAGAATTGCATTTACGTGTTTTTATAAGACGACCAAAATTTCTTTACATGATAAGACAAGTGTAATCGTGTAACGATCATTTTCTGCAATATTTTGAATTATTAACCCGACACTGCTGCAAATTTTGGAACGACTCCCTTGGAATCGTTCACAATTACGATAAATAATATTAAAAATGGGTAAGACAACAGTATAAAACTTCCCCAATATACTGAAATGCTAAAACTGCACCATAGGCACTTCATGGCAAAAAAGTATTTAATCGACTACCCGTTTTGGCCGACTACTCGCCGCAAACCGATCTATCTGGTTACTATTCAATCTAATTAACGAAATTTTTGCCATCAAGTGCCTATGAACTGCATTGGTTCATCATTAAGCTGTGCTCAAGTTGAGTTATTTTTATTGTCAGAAAATGCTTCCTTTGCCAAGAACCTTACTTGTTAACAAATATATGTTTGATTTCAAATTCTCTCTTGTCTTTTTTATTTTTATTTTTGTGTGTTCAACCGTTGCATACAGAAAAGGTAATTACCGTGTAAAAACATATCACTTGTTGATTGTAAAACAAATAACACACAATTTTGATGGTGAATAAAGAATGTGCAAATAAATACCTATAACATAGAGTCTACCTTACCTGACACATAGAGACCTTCTTACCTGAACCATAGAGATCCTCTTACATGAAACATGAGAACCTATTGCCTGAAACATAGAGACCCTCTTACCTGAAACATAGAGACCTTCTTACCTGAAACATAGAGATCCTCTTACCTGAAACATAGAGATCATCTTACATGAAACATTGAGACTCTCTTACCTGAAACACAAAGACCCTCTTACATAGAGATCCTCTAACATAGAGATCCTCTTACATAAAACATAAAGACCTTCTTACATGAAACATTGAGAATATCTTACCTGAAACATAGAGACCCTCTTACATGAAACATAGAGACCCTCTTACCTGAAACATAGAGACCCTCTTACATGAATTATAGAGAATATTATACCTGAAACATAGAGACCCTTTTTCCTGAAAAATAGAGACCCTCTTACCTGTAACATGGAGATCCTCTTACCTGTAAAAATAGAGACCCTCTTATATGAAACATCGAGACCCTCTTACATGAAACATAGAGACCCTCTAACCTGTAACATAGAGACACTTTTACCTGAATCACAGAGACCTTCTCTCCTGTGAAAGTGTCATGTTTCTTCTACTGTAACTTATATTAAAGTCATGTATAAAACCCTGAGGACATGTTTTATTAAGATCAATGAATATCATTAGATAAAAAAACGCCCTTCCTTCAAATTATTGGTAAATATTGAAAATAATTTTTCTAATGCAAACTTCTTTTATCATCTTATCCTTTTCTTCTAGTGTAATCCAAATCATTTTTATTTAAGTTATCTGTACTTGAAATAAAAATAGGATATGTTTAGATTTATGAAATATATACTTATTTCATTCAGGAAATGAGACGAGGTCCATAAAAATGGAGAAACGAAGTCAGGAAACAGTGTGAATAATCATTTAAAGAATCAGCAGAATGGGTCCTTTTTATTTCAAGATGGCTGTCATGTTTATTTTTATATTATTTACTCTATCGGTAATGCAGGCTTCGCAACGCCTCTGTCGAGTTGAAGAAAAACGTACACTTGTTTGTAACCACATGCCAGAAAATATTCCGAATGGAATCTTAAATGTCCGTGTTAAAAACTTAGGCATGTCACAGAAAACAATTAATAGCACTAACTTTAAGTCAGAAAATTGGAGGTATATTGAACGTTTAGAATTATCAGGTTGCAAAACCACATGTGGATTCGTACATTTTGCAAACGGCACGTTTGTCAATTTGGTGACACTCTCCGAGCTACACATACATTTACACGATGTCTACCTGGATTCCAATGTATTTGATGGACAGCTAACTGTCAACTTACTAGATGTAAGTGATTGCCCACGATTGACTTTTGACAAACTGTTCAATAGTTTGAACGGGACAAATAAGCTACCAGCGCTAAAACATCTAAAAATGAAGAAAATAAATTCGTATCACTACGGACAAAATATATTAGATGCACGCGTTGGGAAAGTTTTACAAGCCAAAAACATTATCAGTTTGGATCTTGGTTATACAGATATTGCCTTATTTGACTTCCACATATTTAAGTATTTAGCATACATTGAAGTCATGAACATATCCAGCGCTAACATCAATAACTTTGGGACACATGAGGACAGAACACACGACTTTGCAAATATAACATTGGACCTTAGTCATGCGACAATGCCTTTAAAATCGATACCACCTTATGCTGTGTATTCGGATGTGACACTGAATATTTCAGTATTTGAACCATCTTATTTTTTTGAGTTTGGCGTTTTAAATATAAGTTCAATAAAGCCAACATTTCCAATTTCTTTTAAAAATATAACGTTAATTGTCGATATACCTCCAATGAATTTTCCTGTAAAGCATATGATATTAAAAGACATCAACATTAAGTATTTTGATGTTCACTGCGTGTTCACAAATAACAATGCAACTGCATATAAAGATGTCAAAGAACTTAACCTCGCAGAAAATGGACTGCAATATGTAGATCTTTCTTGTGCATTCAGAGATCTAAAAGCACTTGACATGTCTTCCAATCAGTTAGGTAAAATGGCCATTAGTAACAGATCAGCTTTTGAAGAGATTTTGCATTCTCTTTACAAGTTACAATTTGTAAGTTTATCAAGAAATGGCTTACAAATGGTACCAAAGAACATGTTCAAAAACAATTTTGCTTTGAACAAAATTGATCTATCTGGAAACCAATTGACTCAAATAACTTTTACAATGGACAATTTAGACAATCTTGAAGTCTTAGATTTACATGACAATAACATATATTATCTTGACACGGCATCTCTCGGTCACTTAGATTCAATCCCAGTGAATAAAAAACAGAAAAAGACTTGTGCAACAGTTCTTTTAAGAGATAATCCATTATCGTGTGCAGTATGCGATTACAAATCTTCAATAAGTTGGATTTTGAATTCGCTGCTTGTTAATATCTCATCCCAAAATTTATACTGTACGAAGGAAGATGGAAAACTGTCGAGAATAGATAAAGATATTGTACATGTTATCGAGAATATTTGTAATCGAGTAGTCATCAGCATTGCTACTTGTGTCTCGCCTACATGTCTTATAATTCTTGGCATAGTAATAGGACAAGTGTTATACAAATATTATAAGCGCTTGCGCATGCGTAAGAAAAGGCATGAAATAATTTGTTCACTACGTAACTCCAAAGATCACAACAAATACGCTGCTTTTTTTATAGCACAATGTGAAAAGGAAGGTTCGGGTGAACAATATGAAAATATTATTGCTATGTTGAATGACAACCTGCTACGAATAATTGGACCTCGATGTCACTATGATCCTAAAAAGCGTGGTCAACAATTCCAACAAAACTGCGAAAATCAACAGAATTTAGAAAATCATTATGATCCTACCCATGGTGCACTTGTTCATCATCCACAACAGGATTTACAAAATCATCATGGTCCTACCCATGGTGCACTTGTTCATCATCCACAACAGGATTTACAAATCATCATGGTCCTACCCATGGTGCACTTGTTCATCATCCACAACAGGATTTACAAAATCATCATGGTCCTACCCATGGTGCACTTGTTCATCATCCACAACAGGATTTACAAAATCATCATGGTCCTACCCATGGTGCACTTGTTCATCATCCACAACAGGATTTACAAAATCATCATGGTCCTACCCATGGTGAACTTGTTCATCATCCACAACAGGATTTACAAAATCATCATGGTCCTACCCATGGTGCACTTGTTCATCATCCACAACAGGATTTACAAAATCATCATGTCCTACCCATGGTGAACTTGTTCATCATCCACAACAGGATTTACAAAATCATCATGGTCCTACCCATGGTGCACTTGTTCATCATCCACAACAGGATTTACAAAATCATCATGGTCCTACCCATGGTGCACTTGTTTATCATCCACAACAGGATTTACAAAATCATCATGGTCCTACCCATGGTGTACTTGTTCATCATCCACAACAGGATTTACAAAACCATTCATGATCCTACCCATGGTGCACTTGTTCATCATCCACAACAGGATTTACAAAATCATCATGGTCCTACCCATGGTGCACTTGTTCATCATCCACAACAGGATTTACAAAATCATCATGGTCCTACCCATGGTGCACTTGTTCATCATACACAACAGTATTTACAAAATCATCATGGTCCTTCCCATGGTGCACTTGTTCATCATCCACAACAGGATTTACAGAATCATCATGGTCCTACCCATGGAGCACTTGTTTATCATCCACAACAGGATTTACAAAATCATCATGGTCCTACCCATGGAGCACTTGTTCATCATCCACAACAGGATTTACAAAATCATCATGGTCCTACCGATGATGCACTTTTGCATGATCAACAACAGAGATTAGAAAATCAACATGATCCTGTTCATGGTGCACTTGCTGATAATATTTCACTAGAAAGCATAACTAAATACGTCTGCACAAGGCATGACTACAAACCAGGGCATTCAATTTTTAATGAATTCGGTAGATATTTTGATAATTCTTATATTCTAATACTTTTAATAACAAAGGATTTTCGTGATTTACAAGAGCTACAGTTTTTACTTGACATGGTTCGTGAATGTAGGAAACCAATCCTGTTTATGTTAATGGGGAGTTCTGTTGCACGAGACCATGTCCCACAAGAGCTACATTATTTATATCACAAAGAAAATGTTTTTAAACTCAAAAAGGGGAAAGATGGCAAATTTGAACCCCAGACTTCATGGGATGACATTTGCAATTTCATCTTAACTGTGTGAAAAGAGAGATAACTCAGCAAACTGTGTGATAAGAGAATATCTTACGTTTTGTTCCTGTATAGTTTTTATGTGATATGTAAATTATTGTCGGTTACGCACGGTATACTACATGATCTAGATAATGTAATATGTATGGAATATAATTATACCGGACGTAACCGACTATCCATTTAAATGTGCTATGAAACGTTTTAGCTAAAAAAATATTTATCTTGTGATAGCCCCCTAAAAAAAACCTTGTAATTCAGTTAACACAGGAATAGTATTTGGTATATTGTATTTTCAGCTCAAGATATATGATTCTGACAGTTGTTCCTTATCATCACTGTATGGCAAGATTCATTGTTGTAGCGTTCATCCCAACAATTAACTCCAGGGTAAACATAGAAGTTTGCTTAAAAAGGTTTTATTTTCACTAAGACATTTACTTCAGACTTGACAGTTATTATTTTACGCACGATCAGTAACATCTTTTTCATGACTATATCATATATATTTGGAGAATAATCATCTTTTGAAATTTGAAGTCCATATTGAAATGTATCTTCATTAATACGTAGTTAGCACAGGCACACAAAATTCACGTGAATTGTGTGTCATTATGTGCGAAATTCAAAAATATCGCATTTACTTACTTTGAACTTCGAGCCAGGTCTGATAAAGCAAACAATCTACTGCAATAGAAATGATATTGTTAATAGACATCAACAAATCCTTATAATATGTTTTGGTATTATTCTGTAAGGTATGTATTTAAATACGGCGAGTACAGTGCAAAAAAAAACCTTTCTATCATTTCTACGCTCATTTCTGATTACTATGGTGGCATATTTTTGCCACCAGATAACCTGATAACTAACTAGTTAATTAAGAGGTTAACTAGTTACGTAACTAGTTAACCTCTTAATTAACTAGTTAGTTATCAGGTTAACTAGTTACGTAACTAGTTAATTTTTTCAATAAATAAAAGATCATAACGGGAAATAAATGCATGTTAGTGCCTGCAACTGCCATCCTTTTATTATTTTCATCAGCTTAAAATTAAGAGGTTAACTAATTAGGTAACTAGTTAACCTCTTAATTAACTAGTTAATTAATAGGTTAACTAGTTACCTAACTAGTTAACCCGTTATCACTTATCTATAAATAGATATTGCATAATATTTGGAATACCCGTACTGTCCGCTTATGAGCGGGGTATAACTAAAATACGAAAATAGGGTTATTTTCGCGAAAATAGCATTTTGGCATGAGCGGCAAGATATTCCCTTGTTTATTGCACGTGTCTCACAGCATCGGGTCAATTTCCTGTGTATCTGTTTATTTGTCCAGAGCCTTTAAACGTTAAGACTTTCATTGTCTGACTAATACATATCCTATTTGATATAAACAATATACATACCTAAATGAAACGTAATCGGGATTTAAAGTAATCATTTGTACTGACCCATAAAAAAGCATGTTATAAAACATAAACTAATCACAGGGTTTATTGATATATCTTATTATAACCACCAACCCTGTGGCACCTGTCCATTAAGATATGGAAAGTATTGATAAATTACTTTACAACATTCCATGTCCTCGTCGACACACAAATCATTACCTTAACAGGAAGGTATACAAATACACCAAGAAATGAATAATGTCGTAAATCATGCAATGTTATATTTGTTTGTAACAGAATATCTTTCTCTTTTAGTATGTCCAAAAACATAGGACTAAAAAAAACTTTAAAAAACACAACATAGTTTGTCAATAATAAAAAGACACTTTAAGTATATAAAATCTTCGTAATATTAGGTAACTGCTATAATGCTAAACACATCTCGGTGAAGCATAATACTTTTTTTACATAGAGCATTTAATTAAATGTTGCTATACACATTGTACTCTTTTATGCAATTAAAGAATGGAATGAAGGGACCAATCCAACACTGACACTTTTACATCCATGAATTGGCAACACGTGCGACACGTGTCATAAAGGGGCTTCATAATACCTTTAATTTAGGTACTTCTGATATTTCAGTCGAGTTTACTGCACAAACGTCAAACTTTATTACACACATTGGAAATGACAAATCAAAACAAAGTAAATCATCATCTTCGTCAGATTAACCATGGATCAGGAGCATAGATCAGGATGATATCGATAGGCCCGGTGTCCAATGTTCACAAATGTCCACCGATGCTCTCCTGGATGCGTGTTTAAATTATATCATTGATTAAAAATGCCTTATGGCACATTTGTGCAATTACCTTTTTTGTGTTAGTTGATATATTCATTATATGCTTACGATTTTATATGAATCGTGCGTGTTTAAATGATACCAGTAATTAAACATACTTAATGCATGCACATCTTGATTTGTGCAATGCCCTATGTATTTTGTGTGAGAGTTCACTATTATTTGTTAGTGTTGCTAGATTTAGTCTTAAGTTGCAATTCAAAGATATGACAGTAAACGATCTTAAAGGGTTGTTTGAATTACTTTATACCTTTATGTTCAATTACAACATTGAATAAGATGTATTTTGCATTCATTTTCTGGTTTTTTTTTACTTCTGTCTTTAAATTCAAAGATACATATTTAATACAAATTTAATTTTGTTTTGGTACAATTATTGCTTTACCTTCAAAGGGGAATAAAAAGCGAGTCATGTCAGAATGAGATTATGGATCTGATAACATTGCAGTAGCACTCAATCCAGTATCTGACCATTCTCTCCAGTATCTGACCATGTATCAATGCAATGGAGCAAAACAATGCTATTTATAGATAAGTAATAACGGGTTAACTAGTTACGTAACTAGTTAACCTGATAATTTACTAGTTAATTAATAGGTTATCTAGTTACATAAATACTTAACTAGTTAACCTCTTAATTAACTAGATAATTATCAGGTTAACTAGTTACGCAAATACCTAACTAGTTAACCTGATAATTAACTAGTTAATTAAGAGGTTAACTAGTTATGTAACTAGTTAACCTCTTAATTAACTAGTTAATTATTAGGTTAACTAGTTACATAAATACTTAACTAGTTAACCTGATAATTAACTAGTTAATTAAGAGGTTAACTAGTTAAGTATTTATGTAACTAGTTAACCTATTAATTAACTAGTTAATTATCAGGTTTACTAGTTACGTAACTAGTTAACCTCTTAATATTTAGCTGACAATAAGGGATGGCAGTTGCGGGCACAAACATGCATTTATTTCCCGTTATGATCTTTTCTTTATTGAAAAAATTAACTAGTTACGTAACTAGTTAACCTGATAATTAACTAGTTAATTATCAGGTTAACTAGTTACGTAACTAGTTAACCTCTTAATTAACTAGTTAATTATCAGGTTATCTGGTGGCAGAAATATGCCACCATAATTCACAATTCAAGAAATAATTTACATTTGATATGCAATTAATGTCTGATTTTGCAGTATTTGTCAGCATATATCAACTGCGTGACTAATTAGGTCTACTTTTGCATATCCTGACATACATTTAGTAATTTTCGTAGATATCAAGTGCCGTTTGCATTTGTAAATTATTTTCTTTCTTCACTTGACAATATTGAAAGGCACATTATGCCTTAGGAACGAATACATTTTACTCCTTAAGAAAGAGCATTCACATTACGGTTTAAGAGCATGGTAAATGCTTCTGACCTGAAAAAAGGTAGTCCTAATTGTGAAATTATCTGTCATAAATGTAGCAAAATGTTAATAGAGTAGTATTTTTACTTCAGTACAAAATACTTAATTACTATAATTCTATATATTCCTAAAATCATAAGAATAAAAAGATTATTCCGATTATTTCCCAATGACTCACCTTTTGAACCTATAAAGGTATGCAAAAAAAGATGCTTGCAAAAAAAACGTTTGCGAAATAAAAACAACAGCGTTTCACAATTCAGTTTATACGCTTTTGTCTAATAATCATTTCCAGTCTTGCAAAGCAAAATTTATCCAAGTTTGGGAAATTATTTAAGTATGTATCTTCTTTCCACTTCCCAAGGTTAATCTACCTGTAATTATCAAGTCATATATTTTTTACTGAGAAATAATCAAGAACATTTTTTAAAAAAAGAATATAATTCTGAACTTGGTTGTAATCTTCCATAAATGGATTTTTTTGATGACTATAGATTATTCATAATTTATATGTGAACACTTAAGCACTTAAGTGTCTTGAAAGTGAGTAT